CCATTGAACTATCTTAATTGGTTGAGTTCCGTTGAATTTTATTGTAATGCTGTTCGTGAAGCTCGACGGCTTTCCACAGATGTCTGACCATTGCTTTAGAGTCCCCGAAGTTTGTCACTAGGTTGATTGTCGTCAGCAATACATTATTGACTTCGTGCTCCATTTGAATGGACTCCAACTCGTCTAAAGATATCTCTGACATTGTCTGGTCTTTAGACCTGTTCCTTTGCTCAATCTTGTTTGAACTCGGGTCAGATGTTTGAGTTCTGCTGTTATCCATGACTTTCTTCCATTGCCCTCTCCCTGGTTCCATCCAGTCAGTTGGCTCGGGACTTTATTTTTTCGTTTTTCTCAATATTATCCCATTGCTTTCGTCTCCATGGCGTTTTGAGAAATGGGAAGTTCCTCATAGGCTCAGCGTACCCTCGGGGGCTTCCAGCAACTAAAGTGAACGCAGGTTCCACGGCCAGGGTTGTGACCATTTTTCTACAATTTTTCGTGCTTCCAAAAATTCATCATTTAAATGAGCCATGATTTGATTAATTTATTTCGCTTTTTTAATAACGGGGCATCGCTTGCTGTTTGCTCTGTGGTCACCGTTATAATTTAGGCACGTTTTAATACAAGACCCTTCATATTTTGCCAAAGGAAGAAAAGGGGGGACGGACGGAGGAACGCACATTTCTGCTTCATGTTATGACATTCTTCAAGATTTTGATTTCAGCTTTATTTGACAGTAGTTTCAGGTGTAACACTCCCAGACAACAAAAACTCTTTGACAATTTGTGAACCAGAAGTGACGGCGTCTCTTAATGTTCCACAGAAATTGAATTTTATAGATCTCTAACGGGGGAACTGCAAGAATTTTTAAAAAAGATTTGTTCAGAAAATTAAGCCTTCTCACAGTCAGATAAACAACATTCAGAATCTCCGACTTACAGAAAGCGACTGAGAAAATTTTTATCGCAGGTTATGCTGTGAAGTAACAGAAACCATAAAAGCACATTAGATCAACTGATTCTTTGAAATTCTCGTACTGAAGTGTGTCTGACTCTTAGATTTCGGATACAAAATACGGGTGTTCTTGAAAGAATGGTGGGGTTTCAGATACATATATATTTCGTATTTCTTGCCGTGTACAATCATAACATGCGTCAATCAGAAGCTTAACTGTCCAAATTTTATGTGCATCCATCAAAGTGCCTCTGTGTGCGCATATTTCGTTACCCGGCACACATCAATGAGATAGTCCTATTCCTGCCACACCCGCTGCAGCATTTCAGGTGTGATGGTCTCCACAGCATGATTGATTGTTTCGTAGATCCTAGAGTGATTGGGGCAATGGGGGTACATAGCCCATGTCCTTCACATACCCCCACAAGAAGAAATCACAAAGAGTTATGTCCGGGGACCGGGGTGGCCACTGGAGACAGGGGGCATTTTCACCTGCAGCACGTCCAATCCATCGTTTGCCTAACTGTCGGAAATGTAACTAGAAAAGAGTGTGGTATACAAAATGAAAATTAAGAGCCATGTTATGAATCCGTATACGTTTTGTTTTTCATCAGCAAGAACTGACGGAGATATACGGAAATGAAATCACACCATTCTTTTAGGAATATCCTGTATATTACTGAAACTTTCCAGTTGCCGATTATGAATCGTTATTGAAATCATTGAGACGGTATTCTAATTCTCTTCTACTGAAATATGAACTATCGTCTGTTTTTTCGAAATAAATTCCACAAAATAACATTACGAACTGTTTAATCTTCCATCGCCTAAAACCTGAGTACAACATTACCAGAAGTCCCAGTATTATTTGCGTGATCATTAAACGCTCCAGAAACTAGTGCATCTGTCAAGCGGTCATTCTTTGCTTTGAAAATGGTTCATTGGATGGCTGAATGGATTGATTCTTATACACAGGACTCTTAAGTACAAGTAATCACAGCGCGACAATTCACAAATCACCACAGCACTCGCTAAGCTATTTACAAACTGCTACATATGTCTTCAACTGTTCCCTGGCAACGGCTTTTAAAAGCGTAGATTCTTCAGCTTCGCTTCCTCAGGTCCTCTCTGCACAACCCCCACACAGAATTCAACTGAACTTTATCCTTTCTTAAGGTATCTCGACGTGGACCACGTAGAAACACACTCTTTCCATTGTTTTAGTCCAAGTGTTGCATTATTAATATATTCTGCCTCTTCTTTCATTCATTCCTTCTACACAAATAATCTTCTGATATGCCACCAATGACTGTACGCATCCTTATCCAGCCAAACCTACCAATCAATATTATAAAATTCTAGCATTTTAAATATTCTAAGGAAAGAAAAAATCAGAAGTTTCTAATTGTACTGAATATCATGCTCTTTTTATAACAGATACGAGTGTGGTTACGTAAGCATGGATATGGTTATATGACAGACTGTGAAAGTTAGGAATTAATGGCTGGGCGTGAAGGTTTATAAAGAAGTTCTACATATCAAAATGTAAGTTCACTTATTATTTCAAGGTAAATAAGAGTTTAATTTCTTTTGTGTAGGTTGTATACTTTACAACAAGATCTGATTAATGGTATAATCTCACACTAACAAGTTAAATAAAAAAGCCACCAGCTTGATCAATATTAAGCAAGATGGTATTTCCAAAATTGACATCAATTTATATACCACTTTTATGTTCATTGAAAATTAATATTGTGACATGTTGCGCAACGGAGGACCCCCACCTCCCCAGCGGTACGTGGCGGTAGCGTAGCGCTCTCGTTACTATGGTAATAGGCGAGTCATTGCCTCGCCACTCTGCCCACGGTGACGTAACATGCAACGCGCGGTGACGTAAGACGGCGTGAGGTAACAGCGTTACTAGGCTATACGCAAACACTGCGACGTGGCACCGGTTCCTACTGTGATGCGGCACCGCTTCCTACTATAACGTGGCACGCAACGACGCTGTTGACGCGGGCAACAGGTAACAGCGAACGGAATAAAAGCCGGCTGAGCAGTAAGCGTGAGTTAGTTGAAATGTGGCCGTCGCCGAGTTCAGTTGTTGACGAGTTAACGTGTAGCCGTCCCCGGAGAGAGTTAGTGTGTGATCAACAGTTCTTGAGTTACGAGTTATGGACGCGTGTGTGATAATCAGCGATAGTTCGTAATAACTGAGAATTAATTGGGAGTGTGTAACACAGTGACACTTATATAGCTCCCATACTGTGAAACGTGTAGACTGCGGACAATAGAGTGAATTGAATATTGCGAATAGGGTTATAAAGTGTGAAACCCCGCAACAGTGTTGTAATTAATTGTAGCCGAGATTTTTAGCTTGTTAAATAAACCAATTAACGATCTCTACGGAGTATTCGGTAAGAAAACACGTTACACTGGTGTCAGAAGTGGGATTTGGACTTACACACGTGACCAACAAGATTCGAACTCGAAAAAACATTACAATATTTTTTATGCCAAATGCTATTTGTACATTCATTCTTCTTCAGCTAGTATGCATTCAAGCTGCTCCTGCATATATTGCAATTTATTCAGGAGTGTGAAAGAGCAGTTGCTGCTTTGAAGTAACTGTGGATTAAACACTTCATATGTGAAATGTAACCGTTCCACTGCTACGCAATTTTTTTTAGGTAATCAACTTTATAAATTTGAAAGCGTAATTGTTAAAATGAAATGCAGTGAACAAGGGTAGTGAAACATGGTCAATTCTTGTATGTAAGAGAAAGCGATTTCTCAAGCTTACAACAAGAGACAGGAAGACACCCTTCAAAGGTTTATTAGTGAGAGCTGTGTTAAAGAATAGAGTAAAGAAATCCTTTGTAAATTCATACTTGGCAGTTTCTACATGCCATAACTTAAAAAGAGTGAAGTTTTTAGGGCCCAAGCGACGCGTAAGCATTTGTCACTTTCTGACAGAAATACGTTGGAGTCAAAAATCCTTAAACGCTTGTAAGCTTTAAGCGGAGTGGAGGAATATCTAATTAAGATACTCCTATTTTTCAAAATTAGCCAATCACTAAAATTTAAGGGTGTGACAGAGCAGTGACGCTGGTGAAACCTGGAATTGAAGGTTTGAGGAAGCGTCATGTTTTAGCGTCAGTCGGAAGCCAGGACTCGTAAGAAACAGACGTAATTTCTGCAAACGGGAGTAGGAGGAATCAGACGTAAATTCTGAAACCGGGAGGCGTGAGAATCAGACGTAAATTCTGCAAACGAAGGTGATAGAAACAGATGTAAATTCAGAAACAGTGAAACATAAAGGTTACTGACATTGAAACTGTATAAAAGTGATTAACAAGTGTTCAATATAATTCGTCCAAAATTGAGATGTGCTTGTGATTTGTGGTGTTAATTTATTCCTTTCGGAGTTGTGGCCCGTTCAAGGCTCTGAGATAAGAGGTACTCAGCTCTACCAAAACAACAAAACCCCCTCCTTTTAAATTAACCCTGAGATATTTAGCAACAAGAAAGAAGAACCTACTAGAGGCGACCCAGCGTGTGAGAAAGAAGAAGAAAAAGGTAGGAGGTGGAAAAAAGGGCGGTAAGAGAGAAGTGGCGCCCAAAGTGTGAGTTAGCAAGCAAGGAGCGAAGAAAAAGGGCGGTAAGAGATACTATCATGAGTATTGAACGTTTGTTTCACTCCTTCTAGCATTTGATTTGCAATACAAAATAAATCTCCACAATGGAAAATGTCCCACCTTCAGTCACACATAAGAACTCTGTTGTAACTTCTGAATTAGAATGGAGTTTCAACCAACACTTCTTAACTCTGACTGCTACAGAGAACATACAGGAAAATGATACATGGGTTAAAATGAAGAAGGAACATATTCTTCAGTGAGTAAATCTACAGAACATATTGAAAGTGTACTAATCCTTAAATGCAAACATGGTAAAACTTCATATGTATCAGATATCAAGCCCATTACTTGAAGAAGGAAAAGGTCTGTACTCAATGTGTGACCCATTCTCTCACCATTGCGCAGAAGCAGAAGCATGTGAAGACATGTCAACAGTTGCTGCAGCTGTATAGCACAGATCTGGCGGAGTTCTTTGAGCATTTATTCACTGTCAAAGTGGATTCTGGCAGGAGACTCCAGAAAAGAAATGCCAGTTCACGGAGTGGAAACACGCTAGGAGCCCTCCTCAAATAAGTCATGAGAGGGACTATTCGTCCAGAAGCAAATGGCGACTTGTTCTGGGATAAGGAGGTGATCCTTCTGTTGAATTGGATGCCCCCCAAAACGACCATCGACAGTGATTGGTACTGCAATTCACTGTGCCAACTCCGCCGTCATATTCAGCAACGCTGCCACGGAAAATGGGGGCGCGGCATTCTTCTCCAACATGACAATGCGTGGCCACATGGCAGTAGGCAGACCATTGCCACCCTGGGTGCTCTAGGATACACCGTGCTGCCTCATCCGCCATACTTGCCCAATCTTGCCCCTAGTGACTACGCTCTATTCGATGAAAGGAAAGACATCATGCGAGGTAAGTCGTTCACCTCCAACGAGCTTCAGGCAGATGTCCAGAAGTGGCGCCGGGATACCTCCAAAGAAGGGTTTGCTGTGCAAATACGGAAACTGCTAGAACGATGGCAAAGGTGCATAGACATTGGCTGGGAATACTTCTAATATCATCTGTATGTATTTTGTTCTAAAAATGGTTACTGTGAAGAAAAAACATTTAGTGTCAATTATTTTGTAACGCCCTTAATAAGTCAATAACCTGAAATTTAACCAATTTCTTATTTTTCTCAGAGGTCAAAACAGAGATTTGTTTCCTAACTGCAATCGGCCAAATTATATTTGTAGCAGTGATGTAATCTGTCTTTCAGGAAATTAAATTTTACATATTATAACATAAAAACACTTAAATAATATGTTTGACACTGATGGCTCGTATCTAATAATCTTAAAAATATTGGTATTATTTGTAATCGAATAAAGAAACAATTAGCTGCTAAAGAGGGTACATTTTAAACAGACAGGAATATTAAAAAATGAATAGTTATACCAATCATACCCATGGTACTTTATTTAAAGTTTAATTTGCAAACTCAGTCTGCACTGATAGAACACAGTACTAATTGTGGATGTGTCCCAATATACTACCAGTTAGAAACCAACAATTTATATGCACATCAAACTTCATTAGTATAAATCATTTCTGGATATGTTAAGGCTCTCTATACATCATTACATTTCAATAATACAGATGTCCTCCAGTCATCAGTCTACTGTATTGTCTCTTGCATCTCCTTACTCATGGGCCTTTATTATGTCACAACAAGATTGTGAGTCTCATTTTTTGGATGTTAATTTTATTAAATTTAGACATATACTTCCAAACACAAACACTACAGTTACAGATTAACAAACATGTAGCTAAGAGTATTCCTTGCATTTACTGAATTTATTCACCATAAACAAATTTTTATTTTTAAGGCCCCTCTTTCTACATTTCAGAAAAAATTTAACAACTTCCATACTTTATGTGCATAAATGTAAAAAGATCGTAGATACAAAGCACCTCAAACACATGTGTGTCAAAATTCATAAATGCAGAGCTGTGGTTGGTTAGAAAGAACTTCCAAAATTGCATAGTTTTTACAAATATTATGAAGATAAGAGACAGCGTATCTCTGCACATCATTGCAACAGGATACGTATTAAAATCTGCAAGTAGTTTAAACAAACAGTACTGATCTACTCACTAGAAAGATAAATCATAACAGAGTATCCCTTATAATGTTTGTAGTTCTTCAGCTGGACAAGAAATTACCTGCTTTCGTGGAACGCAAGTGCTCATCATCAAATGCACAAATTACCACCACTGGACCTTACTGTGAGCCAGTCAAATCTAAAGCAAATCTTAAACACTTTCTTTCATATCCATCTGCTTAACACACTCTGTAATTAAGAAACTAGTAATGACAGCATGTAAATGTGCACACAAAGTTGTTTTGGGTAGGAAAACGCAGAGAAGCATTAGTTTTGCAGTAAATGCATGTGTTTGAGACCAAGCAAATATGTTTCCACATTTAAGACTATACAACCATTCAACTACATTAGTTTAAGACAAGCTCTTTTATTCCAATAGAGCAGGCATGTCCAACTTCAAACAGGTTGTGATCGACTTTTTAGTGTCAATACTGCCAGGGATCTACCACCTCCCCCCATCGTCATACCTCGCTTTAAGAAAAAATATTGGTAAAAATAACACGACACACGATGTTTGTTGAAAAGTAACTAGTAACTGGTCTGTGTCTCTGATGTCTGTAGATTCATCCAGTTGGAGAGAGAAAGCTACACAATGGAAACATCTTTCAGCAACTGTTCAGTTATATTTCCACACATCTTTTCTATTCGCCGCATAATGGTGTTTCTTGATAATTAAAGAGCTTGAATAGTAGCTGTGATCTCTTTCTTATTTTATATTACAAGTGAATTTACATGTTTTTCATGTATAATTTCCTTATAGGACTATGAGATTGACCAAAAATTGTCGTGCGATTGATTCTTTGGACATGCCTGCAATAGTGTGTCCAAGAACCTTGAGATGTTAAATGTAAGTAATTACCACAAGCAACAAAAACTCTTTCTCAAAATCCAGTATCATTTTTCTGCATGGACACAGTTGTACACATGTATTTTACACTGGCAATAAAACTATACTGACCTAGTTTTTGCTATAGATTTTGGAAGACATTTCACACTCATCTCAGTGGCAAAAGTAGGTGACATAATTGTGTCACTTCAGAAAGTATAAACTGGTGAATTCATGGTATCATCAGAGACTTACTCTGAATGTAAGGTGAGTTTTCAAGAACATTCCAGTTCTTCTTAGTAACGCATCTGTGATCAGTACTCCCCACTTTGAAATTTTCTCCTTCTGCAGTCATCAGTGACATCAGAATTTTTCTGCAGAATTACTTTTCACACTGATGAAGGTTCTAACGATATAACACTTTTGAATTAAACATTACTGTTAAACTTGAAACACTATTATCCTCTTAGTGAAATCTGAAATTTGATTCAAGAAATGGGAGAATTGTAGTACTTGGCTTTTCTGATAATGTAATGCTTACCACATACTGGTGCACAATACTTCATGTCATTTTACATCCATTTACATAAGAAGCTAAGGGTTACCATCCTGTCTTTATTCTGTCCTTAGGTAGAAATCATTGCGTTTAATGGTTACGGAAAGGACGGCCATGTACCAAGCAGAAGTATTTCAATTGTTGATAGCATGCATATTCAGCAAAATCATAATTTAATATATGAGTGGATCAATGGAGAAGTTATCTAGGAAAATTTCAGCTAAAGATGGAAATTGTTTGTTTTGAAGTTTCAGACTATTTGTTCAATTTTAGATAACTTAGAATCATGTGTGGAGCCGGGGTAGCATAGTCAGTATAGTGACAGGCTACGGGCTGGATGACTGAGGGGTCAGAGTTTGAGTCCCGGTAGGGTCAAGAATTTTCTCTTCTCCAAATCGTACAGACCGATTTTGGGGTCCACCCAACCTCCTATCAAATGGGTACCAGGGGCTCTTTCCCTGGGTGTAAAGCGGCCAGGCTGTGAAGCTGACCGTTCACCTCCAATTACTGCTTAGGTCAAGAAAATGTTGATCTATACATCCACTCTCCCATATGCCTTCATGGCGCAATGCTTAATTCGTTGAGCACAAGGACAACTTTACCTTTACCTTAGAATCACGTTTGGCTGAGTATTAATTAGTGGAAAGACTACAAAACATATACATGGAAAAATGGAGGGCATTATGATAATACAAAAATAATTACTATTAGGTAAATTTATAAAATGTCTGTACTTTCATTTTGTATCTCTGGGCCAAATAACCCAACCTGTTACAGGTGGTCAAGCTCTGACTAAAAGAAACATATATTTGTTGTATAGCAGTGAACTACTGTGATGTACTTATTCCACTTGAATAAAAAGAGGTGTCAGGTGTTTTGATGAAGGTCATTTTTACAGGCAACCTTTGACAGACACATTTCCTCCAAACAACAGCTCCATACAGTGCAGACTGTTATTCTATCAGGTTTTGTAACCGTCCTGTAACCGTTCTTACCTCACCTTCACTCCCCCCCTTGTTGGTTGTTTAGTCACGCGTTGTTCGTCGCTCCTCTCCTTCTTTCTTCTTCTTCTTCTTCTTCTTCTTAGGTTGGGCGCCAGTAAGCTCAGGTGGTGTTGGCTTACAATAGTCTTAGATTTATTTTGGAAAGGGGGTAAAGGTGATAGTCAACTAGTTCAGCTGTGGGTAGAGCTGGGATCCTTCTCAGGGCGTTTGCTAGGGCCTCGCTTCGGACAGGGAGGGAAGCAGTTGGTTCAATGCTACTTTGCACTTAACCACTGTGACCATTTATTGAGATCAACACTTCCCTTCACCTGATGACACACACACGCGCACACACAGTCAATACAAAGGATGCTTATATATAAGCCCTGACCTAGCACAGTCCTGGTATCACGGACGTTATTATTACAATTTACACTTTCTTTAGCACTCTGAACTTGAGGTTATACAGAACAGCGAAAAACACAGATTTTGTTTCCGAATTATTTACGAGTAGCAGGCACTTGGTGACTGTTTGGCACATGTTTGTCAACTAACTTGTGACTCTTTGTCGAAACCACTGAGGTCCCCTAGACGTCATTTCCTCTGCTAAGTCACTCCCCCTTAATTCCACTGATTGGGTAATATTGAGAACTGAGGTTTACACAATTTCTGAATCTCCAAACAGCTAGCTGCAATTTGGGGCTTTGAACCTTAAAGTCCTAACATCGTTTTTGACGGTACACTGATAGATAACCTGCTTGGCGTGGGTTTCAAAACCGCCTACTTTTAAGTTACGACATGCAGGACCTGTCAGTCATCGAATTCTCAAAGTTTGCCGCCGTGTTACTCACAAATAAAATTTCTCAGAAAAAGCCACAGGGGGTGCTTCCTGTGTAACATCAAGATTCGGAATAAGTCCATTCCTGAAAACAAGAATGTGACTTGCACCGCGCCCTTCGTCTTCCTCTCCACTGAGTACTATTATATTATTATTATTACGAAGAGGAAGGGCACAGCGCAATCGTTACTGGCCCTATTGTTGGTTCCCACGCTCCCCTAGATGGAGATGGGGTATCCAAGCTAGGAGGAGGAAGCTACACTCAGTTCGTTGGCTTAGATACAAACAAATATAATTTTAATAAAAAATATATAACAATACATAGATAACAAACGACACATTTGACCAAGAAATTAATACAAGCTCATTTAGAAGAAAACAATTTCCCGTCGGCACCACTTGTGTCGACACTAGAGATATCAGGACGTTAAGCACTCCGGCCATACAAACGCAAGTCTAAATTCTGAAAAAAAAAAAATACCAAACCAAATCTAATAACGCGCGTCGCAAGCGTTCAAGCAACGGCTTCCGACCGCGGGCAGTCCTTACCGGCCAGCCAGATAGCACCAAAAGGGAATTTAGAATAGCCCCAGCCGAAACCAATATTTTCCACAACAAACCTGCTGGTTAGTAACCGACCTTCCAAGTCAACTTGGTCTACACGACTGCACTGTACAAGTCGCCCCTTCACAAGAGGGTACATGGGAC